ATTCGGATGCCCACTCAGCCTGATCACTCTCTTAGCATAGTATGGTCACTGTTTGAATGAATGGGAAGAACATCAAATGAACTGCTCTTTAGTTGCCTTTGTTTCTTTGTAATAGCTGAGAGAAAGCAAGGGAAAAACAAGTGAACCTATTATCTGCGTCCTTATGGGCTCGGCCTCCAAGGCTTTGCTTTGCAGGGTCAGGTAGCTGCTCTCCAGGAGCAGGCTCTTCCTCTGTGCCTGTGGCAGCTCCAACACATGGGGAACTTTTCGGTGAACACCAGCTGAAGATGGTTCCATTTCTGGAGGGTGACCTGGTTTCAGAGAGAAACACAGAACAATACATAAATTTAAAGTTAGTCTGTCAGCTATGTCCAAAACCCAAAACTCATTCCTCTCATTAAAAACTGAGATAGCTACTATTTACTGGATAAATTACTGAATTGAATTCACAATAAAGGGTTGAAAGATAATTCTGAAAATGGACACTTCTGCCTCTGGCCAAGACAAAGCTACAGGGACAGAATTTATACTTAGGAAAAAACAAAATAAAAAAATAGGTTTCAGACTTGAGACAAGATGTGCGCTGTGAGCCCAGAAGATGGAAAATATGGAAAGTCTAGGGCAGCTTCACATCACCACCATCCAAACAGAACCTGTGGACTCTCAGGGGAATCAGAGAGGATGGTCAGGAGATGGTGGCAGTGCAGTGTCTAGGGCAGAGGGGAGGGAGGAGGGCTTTGGAGCTCTTTAGGGGCACAGGTCTTTGGCCAAGCTCTGTACCTGTGTGAGAGGAAATTGCCCAGAGTGGAGGAAAAAGACATTAGAAATGAGGAGGCAGGAGGATCCCTGGCAGCCACAAATGCTTAGAGAGAGCGCCTGAGCCCAGCAGTTGGATGGGCAAGGCTAAGGCTGTAAGGGACACTGAGTCCTTGGAGGTGACTGGAGGTTGCTCTGGGTGCACCCAGATGGAGGCGAGCTCTGAACAAGTCCAGCAGCTCTCCAGGAACTGAAGTGTACGACAGAACAGCGTCTGCCCCTACCTAGCGCAATGCAATAAATCTAGCACCCAACATAAAGTCCGCAGCATACAGCATCAACTCCAGCAGTAATAAGGGTGACCCAGGCCACGTGGCTTTCCTCCCAGTGCCCTGCTCTCGTCCTTTGGGGTACTTTACATCTACTTTCTGGCCCAAGCTCAATCCGCAGAGCCAGTTTTCACCTCATTCTCCACTTTTACTTTTCAGATAAACTTGGTTACCATTTAAAAATAATGATGGTGGGGTTGGGGTGATAGCTCGGTGGCCTAAGCACCTGCCTGGCAAGCGCAAGGACCTGGGTTTGATCCCCAGTACCGCCTGCTGGCATAGCGAGATCCCGTACCAAGTAAATAAATCAATAAATAAAAGATCTAAAAACCATTTTTAAAAATAAAATAAATAAATGACAATGATGATAATAATAATGTGATGGGGCCAGGGAGATAGCTCCATGGAATAAGTGCTTGCCTGGCAAGTGCATGGTCCTGAGTTCGATCCTTGGTGCCACCAAAAAAAAAAAAAAAAAAAATTAATAATAATAATGTGATCCATGATTAGGACAGAAATAAAGAAGTGAGAGAGAAGATGGGCTTGTCAAGCAAAGGTTTTAAACTGGTTCTATAAACAGGCCTTATCTGCTCAAGAGAGCAGAGAAAAACAGAAGAATGAAGTGAAAGAAAACAAAACATAGTGGATCTCCTGCTAGAGAGGGCAAAACAAACCATGCGCGATGACGGCTATCTCGAGGGGATCAACAGCAGATCAGACTGCAGGGGAGAAGAGGAGTGAAAGGGAAGACAGCAGGAGCCACCGTCCAGTGGGACAGAAACATGGTACAGGTGGCATAGACAAGGGACACATCCATGGGACACCAGCAAATAGTCCTAGGAGAGGGACGGGGAATCAGCAAAGGGTATTACAAAATTAATAGCCAAAATGCTTCCAAATTTCATGAAAGATACAAACCCACAGCCCCAAGAAGCTCCATGAATTTCAAGCAAAACAGGAGACCGTGCCGCGACACAGCCTGCCTGAATTCCTGCAGATCAGTGATGTAGAAAAATTCCTCATAAGAAGCATGAGAGTGAGCAGGCACGGTGACACATGGCTGTCACCCCAGTTCTAGGGAGCCTGAGGCAGGCAGATAGCCAGAGTTGGAAGCCAGCCTGGGAAACATAGCGAGCATCTGTCTCTAGATAAACCACAACAAAAACTGGCAACCTCTTCCTCTCTGCCTACAGTGACATGCAGAGTGACTCAGTAGTGCTCAGGAAGACTTCGGTCCTTACCCTTTCAATTCATTTACAATGGATGTGTGAACTTCCACAGAAATCCTGCCATCCAGGCCCGCTTGGAGTTCTTGGCATTTGGCACGAAGACCCTCCAACTGCTCCTTGCTTTCCTTCAGCTCCTTTTCCTGCGCCTCTGTCTGTGACTCCAGGAGCATGAGCCGTTTAGTCAGCTGAGAAACTGAAAGCAAAAGAGAAGGATAAAGGCTTGGAAGAGAGCACTTAGCAGAACCTGAGCACTGGGGACTGGGAGAGAAATACGAGGAGAGTCAGCTGAAACACAGACCACTTGAAAAATCTTGGGGGGCAAGGTGGTGCCTGCCTATAATCCGAGCACTCAGGAGGCTGAGGCAGGAGGATCACAGCAAGTTCCAGGCCAGCCTGGGCTACACAGTGAGTTCACGGCCAACCTGAGTTACATAGTGAGACCTATCTCATAAAACCAAAATTAAAGAAAAAACTCTAACCAAATAAGTATCAATCTCTTGGAAGGTTATAAATGAACACCAAAGCCTGCTAATAGAAGAGGCTGTCCCTCTACTCTGTACTCACTAAACACACATTAAGCCCTGTAAATCTGGGGCTCTGTATCAGTGGGGCCAGCCACCCATGTGAGGACAGTATTTGGGGAAAGAAAACTGCATCTGTACTGAACACAGACAGACGCTCTGCCCTGTCCCCATACCCCACCTAACAGCGCTGACTGACACAGCGGTCACGCTGTTGGATCAGACAGATCAGAAGGAATCCGGAGAGGCTGTGTGTGACGGGGACGGCATTGCACACAGGCACTTGGGCCCCGGTGGACGTGGGCATCCGCCCTGCACCTGCGCCTGCACCCTGTGGACGCTACAATATTCTACCAAGTCTCATCACAGTCCTTATAAGACGTGAGTCCAGTCCTCAAGGAACTGACTTTCCAGTCTTAAACCATAAACAGAGGTGCCAGCATCTATCATGTTGTTGTACCTAAAACTGCAAGATTTTTAAGATTTCTAAGGCCATCAAATGTGCCCCAAGAATTCAACGTATTATTTTTACTTTCCTTGGCTAAGTATTTGTTTTATGTTGCATATGGAAAACAAAAAATCATGCCAGACCTGAAAGTCCATGCCTGCAACCCCAGCACTAGGGAGGCCGAGACAGAGGGATTGCCACAGGTGCCAGGCCAGAGCCCACTACACAGTGAGTTCAAGCACAGCGTGAACTGCAGAGTGAGGCCCTTTTTCTCCCCCCGAAAACAGAAAACGCTAAGAATTGTCACCCCACATGCCAAGGTCACACAAGCATCCCAGGCACCTGCTGCAGCTAGCACTGAAAAGTGCAGGAACATCAAACTTAACTCTTCCTGCTCTAGGACAGCCCTGAAGTGATCAAAGGGAAGGACTGCCTGTGGGGAATGGAACACAGCAGGGACCCCACTGACTCACAGGCCCCAGGGTTTGCCTTGCCTGTGTGACCCCAACAATCACCACATCTGTCCACCTGGTGTGCTCCAGAAAATTTCTCTCAGTTACTAGGAAACTAATTTCCCCACATTTCCAATCCTGACTCCAACAGCAACGCTCCATCTCCTCCAGGTCAACAATGCAGGAGCGAATGGTTCTGGGCCTTGCAGGTTTGTGAAGTCCTGTGGGACAAATTCCAGTGAGATTGTTCCAGAGAGGGGCTCATCTATTTGCCTTTTTAAAGCACTGGGGATACAACCCAGAGAAGCTCTAGTACTAAGACATGAGCTACATCCTGGCACTTTTATTATTTTTTAAATTTTGAAACAGGGTCGTAGGCTGAGCTCTAACCTGTGATCCTCCTGCCTCTGCCTCCCAGAGTGCGGGGGTTACAGGGCTGCGCCACCACCCCAGCAAGGTGCTCATTGTTAACTTGGCTCTGTCATCAGTAGCACAGCAGCTCCGGTGCTAGCAGAACCTGGCAGTGAGCTGCTGCACAGTGCAGAAGGAGCTCACTTAGTGAGCAGATGCAGGCACGGCGCAGGCCAGGCGGGAAGTAAGGTGGCGGCTACAACGACCCATGCAAGTCAGCTTGTACTTCAGACTCCTGTGTCATTTTCACTGTAAAACTCAGTGGAAGAGGAAAATGATATTTTCCCCCCATATATTGGTTTTTAATCAAGGCAAAAGAAATGACCCTTAACTTGGCTGACTTTGAAGTCCACTGTCAAATGCGATGGGGCTAAGTCCAGGGAGGGCACAGGACGGGACACACGGAGGTGTCTGAGAACCTCCTAACTCTAGAGCTTTATGCCCTATGATGCCCACAGTCCCTGCGGAAGGGAAAGAGCACAGCAAAACTGCACACACTGAGCAGATCTACTTACTCTTTCGAACAATGCTTGAGAACACAATCGTGTGTCCTTTTCATTACCCCGCATGGCTTCCCCACTTCTAAAGCACTATTTTACCCCTAAACCAGTTCTGCTGCATCCTTCATCTACTACTGATTCACAAAATACAAAAGAGGAAAACACACACACACACACACACACACACACACACACACACACACACAGAAGGGTTGGGAGGCACCGGTGGAATCTAAAGAAAGCTATCCACGTGCCAAGGGCAGTGAACAGCTAGAGACGGAGATAGAAGCTGCAGTCCAGTCCGGGAAGATCTGAGCAAGCCCGCCCTGCCCGGCTTCAGGGACACGGCAGCCAGGCCACTCACCCTCTTGGAGATGCTCCTGCCGGGTGTCCTGGGCCTTCCTTTGCTGAATCTCCAGCTGCTCTAGCAATAGCTTGTTTTCCTCCAAAACCAGTTTTGCTTGAGTCTGAAGCTGATGCCTGCAATAGATTTACAAAATTAAATCCTGGCATCCTGGTACAGAAACACACTGGCATCTACAAGAAACTAAGTAGGGCAGGAGAGACAGCTCGGCAGTCAAAGCATGTGCCTGGCAAGCGCCAAGACCTGAGTTTGAACCGCAGTACCACATGCTGTGCAGGCTCCGGAACCAGCCTACTGTGCCAGCCACTGAAACTAAGTGTGGTGGTGCATGCCTGTAATCCCAGCGCTGCAGAGGTTCATAAAGGATCACCAGGACTCCTAACTGCATAGTGAGTCCCCGCACCAAAAAAATAAATACTTTTTAAAGGGGGGGAATAAAATGATTTCCCTGTCTTTGGCATTAAGAAAAAAAAGGCGGGAACGGAGCAATAGCTCAGCGGACTAAGTGCCTACCTGGCAAGCTCAAGGACCTGGTCGATTCCCCAGTACCACTTGCCTTGCCAGGCCCCCACCAAACCCATGTGTGGTGGTGCACGCCTGCAATCCCAGAGCTGGGGAGGTTGACACAGGAGGATCACTAAAGTCCAAACTATATAGGGAGACCCTGTACCAAAAAAAATAAATAAATAAAAATCCAAAAGAAAAATAAAAATAGAAACCAACTATATTAACATAGACGATGGCTACCTGGATGCATTTCAGCCTCTAACATCCATATCAGTGACAGCGCAAACCCTGCCATATGCATTATAGATGACAGAGGAGTCTGAGTTACGAAGACTCGTGTGTATTTTTTTATTATCATTATTGGGGGGGCAGCTCAGCCCACACTGCAGGTGGGGCAGGCATCCTTAGTGGTGCCTGGGATCAAACCACAGTCCCTGCATGCTCTGCCTAAGCAGGCACTTTAAACCGCTGCACTATCTCCCCTCTTGTGTGCATTTGTGTTGTTATGTGGTTTGGGTATTTTTTTCTTTTTGGCACTGGCGATGGAAACCAGGGCCTCTTTCAGGCTTCATCTATCACTGAGCTATACCTCAAACCATTTGGTAACTTTCTACAATGTCAAATTTCAGGGCAGGGGCTGGAACTCAGGAGCAGAGTGCACGCTCAGAATGTATGAAGCCCTAGGCTTGATTTCCCAGCACACAGACTGCTTCAAATACAAACTTCAAGCATTTAGAAAGAGAATAGCATACAAAATTCCCAGATACATAATATGCAGCTTACAGCCATCAAGTGGCCAAATTTATCGATACAAACTTCCATTCCCCATATGCTCTGGATTATTTCAAAGCTGTATGGAATTTCGAAACAATTTAAAAAAGATCCCATTTAATGAAAAAGCTCTTCCTCATATTCAGTAGCACACTGGCTGGAAAACAATCGCTTTATAGAACACTCTGGAGTGGTTCCTGAGGGCCGTGCCAGCCCACCCCGTGCTGATCTCCCCAGCAGCAGAGCTGCCCTTGCTGGGGGTGGATCAACCCTGGCTCCGCTCAGCTTTCAGGATCACAAACTCCAACGAGAAGGAGTGGCTGAGGGCACCGCAGAAGTGGAGCAGCCGGAGCTTTACTAAGTGCCTACCTGGCAAGCTCAAGGACCCGAGTTTGATTCCCCAGTACCACCTCCCTTGCCGGGCCCCCACCAAACCCAGGTGTGGTGGCACACACCTGCAATCCCAGAGCTGGGGAGGTTGATACAGGAGGATCACTAAAGTCCAAACTATATAGGGAGACCCTGTACCAAAAAAAATAAATAAAAATCTAAGGCCCAAACACACTGTAGGCCAACGGGCTCGCTCCGTTTTCTACCTTCTATTCAAAAGTGTGGATGGGGGCCAGGGAGATAGCTCAGCGGCATGAGTGCCTGCCTGCCAAGCACAAGGTCCTGAGTTGGACCCCTGGGACCAAAAGAAAAAAAAAGGTCTGATGGACAAAGGAGAGAAGAAAAAAGGAGCCAGGCTGTACCCTGTGGAGGTGTCGCTGCCTCTGCCTCCTCACTGCTGCCTGGAACACAGCAGCACCACTCGGGTCTGCCTCACAGTTCAGGCTTCCTTACAAGACTTTTTCTTGCTAGTTCATTTATTCTTTTTTCTTTCTTTTCTTTTCTTTTTTTCCTCACACAGCTCCTTCCTTTTATTCCTAAGCTTTTAAATAAAAGAGATCACTCATTCTTAAAAAAGGAGGAAGTCTCAGATTTAGTTTAACACTCATTCCCATTCTGCAGATGAAAAAACTGAGGCCCTCGGAGCCTGAGCTTACTGAGCGATCCTCGGAGCCTGAGCTTACTGAGCGAAATGCAGACGGGGCTACAGAGCGGGAGTCCGCGAAGAACCTACTGGCGTGAGGTGCATGGAGCAGCCAGAAAGCTCAGCCGAGCTCCCCGAGTCCCCTAGCTCAGGGAGCACCTAGCTCACCCCCTTTCTGCACAGACCACCAGGCTGGGGCACTGATCGGAGTCTGAATCTCAGCCACCCAGGACTAGAGAATTAGGCCTTGAAAGCAGGGATGTCAGGGCCAGCCACATAGCTCGGCCGACTAAAGTGCCTGCTTTGGCAGAAGGCAGCGGCCGGGGTTCGATCCCCAGTGTGCCATGCCGTGCAGTGCTGGTCCAGTCCCCGGGAGCGTGCTGAGATGGTGACTGAGACTGGACGTGGTAGCCCGCACCTGTAGTCCCAGCACTTGGAAGGCTGAAGGAGAAAGCTCACTGACGAGTCTGATCTGTGCGGGAGACCCTGCCCTAAATTCATTAAAAAAGCGGGGCTGCTCACCTCATTGGCTTTTTAATTTTATTTAAGGAGATACTAAGAGGCTTAACTCCTGGCTATCAACAAGGTTAGATTCCCACAGCAGCCCTCGGAGGAGGCTGAGGAAGCCCCGTCTAACTGAGCCACTCTCCAGGTGCTGTTCAGGGGCACAAGGCGCACTGACTAGGAAGCCTGTGGGAAGAAAACCCGAGCTCAGAGGGGGAGTCACCACACACCCGCGTCCTGGAGCCACCCAGGCCAGGCCCAAACTCCGCAGGACACTTCCAACCAATCCAGAGGACTCACTCGGACGACCTCACTGTACCATATGCACTGCTTAGAAATTCCCTTAAAGTGTATTAGTTTAAGTGAGAAAATATAAGCTGGCTGTGATGAGGTGTGCTTATAATCCCAGCACTCTGGGAGGCTGAGGCGGAAGAATCGCTAGTATGAGGCTAGCTTAGGTGACATAGGAAGACCCCGTCTCAAAATAAAAAAATAAAAGGCTGGGGATGTAGCTCAGTGTAAAGGCTCTGGGTTTAATCCCCCCCCCCCACACACACAGTAACTTCAAGTTTGCTCCTATTGTCTTGCGGCTTGCGTGACCAGCACATCACACACAACGCCCCACTTGCCATTCCTCCCTGGTCACGGGACCACTCTTATTTAGCTCCTGGTGCAGCTCTTCGTTTTCTTTCACCACTTCTTGAACTCGCATCCTGAACATTCTCATTTCTTCCTGAAATAAAATTGGTGTACATCGGAACCCACGGCCCACACGGCCCACCCCTGCCTCGGCTAAGATCAAATGTCAGGCCGCCACCCCCCACCCCGGCACTCTCACCCTAACCCGGGCCCTGCCCCAGGTCCTGGCGTGCTCCACCCACCCGCCACCCAGAGCTCAGGGTGTGCACAGGGACGAAGCTGGAGTTCAGTTATTCTATTCCTAACTTGGTAACTTTTTTCATTACAGCCAATCCTTGAAAACCTAGCGTGCATTTAAAAAGAAAGCAGAGATGTCTGTAAGTACTGTTTTGTTTGAAGACTTTGCAGGATAAAGTGCACTATTTTATGTAATAGTGGAGAACTTTCCATCCTTAAGGAAAGCCTATTTGGGTGGGGGAAAGGTTCATGCGGGGACCACGAGATGCCTGCTCCTTGCCAAGGAGGAGAAAGGCACTCCACTTGGACACTGGTCTCCATCCATGTTAGCCAGGCGCCTGCAAGGAGAAGCCTGGGATGTAGTCTCAGATCAACTCTTACTAACCTACATCTCCCGCCTCCACTTCGGCTCTCAGCCAGCACCTGACTGGCTTCAGTGTCCTGTGCTGCACTTGGGTGAGAGCATCTTTGGTGCCAATACTTACTGGGGTTTTTTAAATACTCTCCCAGCTGTCAGACATTGATGCTACATCTGTTTACCTTCAAGCAGCTTTGCCAGGCAACGTCCCCTTCTCACCTTCTGCCCAGACACACTCACCAGGTGCTGGCCGCTCACCTGCTTAGAAGCATTCAGGCAAACTAACACTGCAGGATGGAGTTTTATTGGACTAGAGTCCTGCCCCTTGTTTACATGTTGTCTATGGCTACTTTTATGCTATAGCGATGAACAAAAATTGCATGGCCCACAAAACCAGAAATACTTTATTCACTGGCCCTTTATAGAAAAAGTGGACTGACCCTCATTTAGAAAGAGCATTAAAAGAGCTGGGGGACTGGGGAGATAGCTGGGCTAAGGAGATAGCTTAGCGGTCTAAGCACCTGCCAAGCAAGCACAAGGACCTGGGTTCTATCCCTGGTACTGCATGCTGTGCCAGCCCCAGAACCCTGGGCATGGTGTGCTGGACACCGAAACTGGTCATGGTGGCGCACGCCTGTAATCCCAGTGCTGGGGAGGTTGAGACAGGAGGATCACTACATGTTCAAGCTGCAGAGCAAGACCCTGTACCAAATATATACATAAATAAAGAGCTGGGTGTGGTATAATCCCAGCAGTCTGGAAAGCTGAGGCAAAAGGACTGTGAGTTTTTCAGCATGGGTAGCTTAGTGACTTAGTGAGGCCCTCTCTCAAAACTTAAAAATGTAAAGGGTTAAGGATGCGGCAGATTGATGGCAGGGGGAGGCAATACTAGAGATGAAACCCAGGAGTGTTTTAACACTGAGCTTGTTCTGGCTTGTGTCTGCACATGGTCATGTTGGGCAGGCTGGGCAGGCTGTTTGGAAGTGGCTGAACCTAGAGTTTGTGATTGGTTCACTGTGTAGTGCTGGGATGGGGGTGTGAGTGCTACACCTGCCCTAGGGCAGATCGCCTGCATACTATGCAAGGGAGGGAAGGAGCCTTGCTTCCCCCTTGTGCTGTCTTCCACCACCAGGAACAGTTGCCCCTCTGCCACGCCACCCTGCCTTGGAGCCAGCCTATTACGGAGTGAAACCTTCATAAACTGAGCTAAATAAACCTTTCTTCCTTTGATTTTGGGTGCTGGCTAGCTATTTTGTCTCAGCAACTGTATAAGGAGCTAAGACAGAGCTACATCCCCAACTCTTAGCATTTATTAGAGAGAGAAGCACGCCAAGTTGCTCAGGCTGGCCTGGAACTTACTATTCTACCTCAGCCTGCTAAATAGCTGGGATTACAGGGTGTGAAATCACCATGGCCTCCCAAGTCCCTTCTAATGGCAGTGTTTGTAGCTGTGGAATCCCAGGAAAGCAGTGCCTCCTCTGTTGCCTTCTCTGTACCCCACAATCCCAGCCCCGGTGGGGTTCCTCGTCCAGGAAAGCATGGCTCCTAATGGAGCAGCACCCCTCCGTCCACACCCTCCGCTCTCCCTACCTCCTCTCTGCCAGCCCCTCCCTGCTTCCTCGCTCTTCCTTCTCTCCTTCCTGCTTCCCCTCCCCCACTGCCATCCACCCACCTTCCTGCCTCCTTCCTTTAACAAGCATTGCAGGAGCAGTGTCGGCCATGTGTGGGGCACACTTACCTCCAAAACCTTTCTGCCAAGTTTGAAACTGGCTCATCAGTCTCGTCTCTCCTGAGACATCTGTCGACCTACCTCAAGGGCGGCACTGAGTTCGTCCTTCTCTTTCATTCTGTCTTCATAAGCCAGCAGCAATGGGGAAAGGTACTTCACATCCAACTGAAGATTACAGTGAAAGATATAGTGAAGGATGTCAAAATATTTCCTATGTCTAAATGCAATCAGCAAATTTTTAAAAAGTCTAAATACCCACTACTTTTGGAATGGTTCTTAGTAGCTGTACAAACAGCTGAGAAAATAGGGACTTGAAATTAAATAATATTCACTTACCAACCAAGGTGGTACAGGGCCCTTTGATGGGAGGCCTTCAATATGGAAACTCTAAGGAAAAAATGCATCGAAGACAAAATAAACTGCGTCCTCTCAAATGGCAAATCTTAGTCTTCTGAAGGGAGGAGGCTTAGGGCAGAGTTACTGGGGATGCAACCCATGGGTTTTGAGAGCCACATTCTCAGACCTTTTTGGGAAGACTGGGTCTTGATGAGTTCCCTTAGCTGTCCTCAAACTCAAGATTCTCCTGCCTCAGCCTCAACGGTAGCAGGGATTACAAGCACATGTTGTGGAGGACCACCTGAGCAACTCTCCTTGAACGAAGAGCAACTGACTCCATTTTGGCTGTGCCTGACCCTATTTCCACGTATTGATATGTACAGTGCTGGCTAGGACTTCGCCTTATCTCTTCAATTGTCTTTAGGCAGTGCATATTGGTCTAGCCAAGGTGCTTGTGGTTGTCTTTGAAGACAGCATGCAGGTTTTCCTGATAACCCATAGCTGCTGCTCTTTAATATGAGCTGGGTCAAGACAGGACCAACAGCCAATGCTCCACACTGTCAGCTGAGATGCGTCTCAAGATAGAGATTATGACTTCCTGGGGCATAAAAGATTACACATCAGAGCTGAAGCACCGGACCCCAAAACATTAGATACTATCTCAATAGTATAATGCAAATCACTTTTTCTGCATATCCTTCTCTCTGCATATGACAAAGTAAATGCAGGCCTCCTACCTAGTTCAGCTCACAGTCCTCACCTACTTCCTGCCATTCTCAGTCATTCATCCTCAAGCCACTCCTCCTTCATGACTGAATAAGACCTGGGTTCAGCCCTGGGTCAAGGACTTTGTTCTAGATAGCCATCATGGCTGGACTTAGGACCCCTTGGCTCCCCATAACTATAAATATGGGTTAGTGTCTTTATTCTCACTATGGGTTGCAATGGAAGTGATGGATTGGAATTAATCTGACGAGATTCCAATAATTTAATCCATGAGATTACAAATATAAACTTCTCAGACTGAAATGAGGACCAGAAAGCATTCTCAACACATGTGCCTTTAATAGTCTTAAATTAAATCAGGCATCATTCATCTACGTGTGTGTGTGTGTGTGTGTGTGTGTAAAACTGTTTCTGGTATGATTTAGAGGAGAGTATCTTCCCTCTAGATACTTCCATGCATATTTCCTAAAAACAAAAATGCTCATATATCCAACAACAATCCCATCATACAAAGGAGGACATCAAAACTGACACAATATTGGACCAGAGAGATAGCTCAGTAGTTTAAAGCGCCTGCTTAGGCAAACTTAGGCAGGCGCAGGGGACTGTGGTTCAGTCCCTGACACATGATGCACCAGTGCTGCCCTCAGGAGGGCAGAGCCTGCCAAAAAAAAAAAAACAAAACTTGGTACAATATTATTTTCAAACATACAGACTATCTTCAATCTTGTTTATTTTCCCACTGATATTCTTTTCCAATCAGGGGTCCAGTGCAGGGTCCTGTTTTACATCCAGTGTCAACCTTCCTCTGCTGTTGTGTAGTGTCAGGGCTGGAAGTCCAAGCCTTGCGTAGGTCAGGCTCATGGTCCACCACCGAGCCACCCTCGGCACCTGTGCCCTGTGCAGTTCTGCGCTACCCCCGCGTCCCACCAAGGTCTTAACTGCCTTAGTGATGGGGCGGGGAGGGAAGGGGGTACTTCGAATACATTTTATACTAAAGTATAATAAACAAGAACCCACTGGAATAAGAAATCAATTCTACAGTAAAGGCTAGAAAAAAGATCTGATCTTTTTAACAAGAAACATTACCTCTTCCTCGGACAAATGCCTGAATTTTGTTTGATATCGACTCAGTTCTATGTTCAAACGATGGACGGTCATTTTCAAGCCATCATTTTCATCCACTAGCTCTTGGGCTTGTTTCCTGAGATAAAGTAATTCAGGTACAGTAACTCCTGAAAGAAAAACCCATGTAATATTATGCTGTAGTAAATTCTGTAACATTTATCAAGATTTTACACATGGTGGTCATCCTTTGTCTTTTGATACAGGCAGCAGTGAGTTTTATAGATCTGTAGTATAAGTAAATAGAAAGTTAACGAGTTTTTAAATACCAGTCAAGACTATTGCTTGGGAAGTCTGTGTATACAATAGTGCAAAATAGTAATTTTTTTTTTTTTTTTTCCGGAACCAGAGATTGAACTCGGGCCCTTGTACTTGCCAGGCAAGCGCTTATTCTACTAAACTATCTCCTCGGCCCCAAAATAGTAATTTTATTTTGATTTTTTTTTTTGGGGGGGGGAGCAAAACCAGGGATTGAACTCTGGCCCTTGCGCTTGCCAGGGAAGCACTTATTCTACTGAGCCATCTCCACAGCCCAAAACAGTAATTTTAAATTGGAAAAAAAATGTGTTGTTTTAGATGATATATTTGTTTCCTGAAAATTACATTGAATAAATGGGAAATTTGTTAAAACACAACTTTCTTTCATAGCGGCAATGTTCTGTAAGAAAATATGGAAACTAGATCCCACAAAATAACAGCACAGAGAAACTATCCAGAAATAAATGTGCCTAAGACAAGGAATAGGCAGGTTCTGTGTGCAAAAAACCAAACCACGTGACTTATGGCCATGACATTCACCTCACAAAAATAGGAAAAAGGATAAAATATATTAGTGAAAATTTATTTATTTCTGCCTTTTTGAGACAGGGTCTCGCTACGCAGGTCAGGTTGGCCTTGAGCTCACTTTGTAGCCCAGGCTGGACTGGAACTTGAAACAATCCTCCTGCCTCAGCCTCCCGAGTGCTGGGATTACAGGGGTGCGCTACCACACTCAGCTATCAGTGAAAATGTACTGTAACCTTAGGAAAAGAACTTGATGCCATAGGCATGCATCATAAAAGGAAAACATTCCAGAGATTGAGCTGAATTACCAACAAACTAGGAAACTATATCTATGACAAAAGGATAAACTCCTTAACACACAAGTCAAGAAAAGAAAAAGTATTTCAACTTAAAGTAGCAAATTTATGAATGAAAATATATCTATGAGCTAATGCCAGGCATGCTGGCAGACACTAATATTTACGAGATAATCCCAGCACTGGGGAGACTGACAATTGCTGTGAGTTTGAGGTCAGCCAAGGTTACAGCAGTTCAAGATCAGATTGTACTGCATAGACAGACCCTGTCTCCAAAAAAATACAAAAAACAACAACAAAAAAAGAAAAATTTGAGATAAAATATCCACAAATCCCCCCCAAAATCAAAGAATTTATGTGGGAAAATATCCACATAAATATCAATAAATATACATGAAATATTAACTCTCAAAATAATAGTGACATCAGTTTTATTAACCCTCCAATAAAAGAAATAGGTACCCATCCCCACCTTCCTGAGAGGATGTTTCCTTAGTCTCTTCTGGCGTCCCACTGTCTTGTCCCATTCTTTTAAGTTTTAACTGTAATTTTTTCATTTCTCGTCTTACTAAACTTAGTTCACGCATAAGAGCTTGATTTGCATTGCTTAGGTGTAAATTTTCTTCTTTTAACTCCTCAAGCTTTTCTTTGGTGATTTCTGTACATCTCAGATGGATTCTACCCATTGCATCTGAAAAGTGCAAGGAAAAAGCTTAACAAGGACTGATGTGTAGCATTTTACATCCAAAAGACACGAGACTTTACTTCCAGAGCATGCGAGCAGCTACTTCACATCAGGCCTGGTGCTGCGAGCTTGCTCCCTGAGAAGAGACTGGCCGTGCAGGAAGAGGCAGGGCCACCTAGGCCCTGGGCTTGGTAATGCAGGGCAGAGTTTCCACCCTGCAGCTCACCAGGAGCCAGAAAGCCTTCAGGACAGAGGCGGAGATGGAAGCAGCTCTACTCTCCACAGTGCTGGCCCAGCCAGAGGGAGATTAGGGGCAGGCAGAGTAGGGCACAGCAGGACAGGGACAGCGGGATTCAGAAGCCGAAGTCCCACAGGTCTTGATGGCTCACTGCGCATGGGCAGTGTGGGAGGGAAACCAAAGATGTGCTCTACAGGAAGCTACTGTTGGGGGCTGGGGTCCTGACCAGGCTGGAGCGATCACACCAAAATTCACAGTGGCACCACTCCCACTGACGTCACTCCCACTGATGTCCAGGTCCCCATGCTGATAGCTGCTGTCCACTAAACTGTTATCTGACCTCAGAGGAGAGACAAAACCAAATTTCTCCAAACAGGCTAATATCAGTTGCCTGGGACAATGAACTTCGCTCCACTTTAATCTTTACAACAAACAAACAAGTAACCTGTTATTAACCAGCTAGCTCGTTTTCTACAGTTGTGTCCCCCTTACACCCAATTTACAAGGAAAGAAACTGAAATGACCGATCTGGTACGGGTGTCGTGTCAGGGGGGCAGTGGTGGGGGAGTACAGAGGACTTTCATACTGAGCTACATCCCATGTTGGGGCTGTTTTTGTTGCTTGCTTTTTGAGACAAGACTCCCACTATGTAGTTCAGGTTGACCTTGAACTCACTGTGTAGCCCCCAGCTGGCCTGGAACTTGTGGCAATCCTCCTGCTTCAGCAGGAATCCAGAATGCTGGGATTTCAGGTGCCCAGCATCATGCTTAACCATCCCCAAGTCTTTTTTACTTTAATTTTTATTTTTTTAAATTTTTATTTTGTTTATTTAGTTTTTTGGTGGAACCAGGGATTGAACTTCGGCCCTTGCGCTTGACAGGGAAGTGCTTATTCCACTGGGCCATCTCCCCAGCCCCTAATTTTTATTTTTGAGATAGGGTCTTGCTAAATTGTCCAGGCTGGGCTCCAATTTGCAATCCTCCTGCCTCAGCCTGTCAGAGTACTTGGATTTCAGATGTCTGCCATCTTGCCCAGCTTCCAGTCCTCTTTTGTTATTTGTTCTTTCTTTGTCCGTCCTTCTCTGTCCAGAAAGCCAACCTCCCCTGCTCAGCACAGTGCAAAGTCCACTGTTTTATTCAAGTGCTGCCTGATACTCGAATCACAAGGAAAGCCCATGGAGGTCACCACACTGCATCTACTTAGTTCTGTGCAGACAGTGACTTGGACAAGGGACAAGAGGCAAGCAGGAGTGAGCCATCAGCCAGGGGCAACGCCTAGAAACATAAGGAGGAGGTGACAAAGGGATTGGAAAGAATAGCAAGAATTGATAAGAGGAGAACAAAGTAGGGTGAGGACCCAGCTAGCCCTGGCCCAGGCAGGAGCCCAGTAGAGGCGAAGAGACAGAGGCAGGTAGGGCTGGACACACACATGCACCCTCCCTAAACAGGGGTGGTGAACTTTCTTTCCAGAGACTACAGCAGAAGCTCAGTAGCCAACAAACACCTTTTCCTAAGGTTAACAATGGGGCAGAAGTGACATCTTTTCTGGAGAAAGGAAACCTGAACTCATCTCTGGTGAGGCTATTCTGTGTATTCTATAAAATGACACACTTCTGGGACAGAAGGAATTCAGAAAGGCAAGTACCTGGGGAGGGAGGTGGCTTCTCATAGATCAGTGTCCTCTCGCCCTAGGGAAGAAACAGCATGGAGTGAGGCGGGAGTGAGCTCAGCACAGGCAGAGGAAGCCTAGGGCGGCAGACACCAGGAGGCAAAGCACGCTTCCTGTGGCACTTGGACTCTTGTGGCCCTCAGTTTATTTTAGGGTTAGGAACCTTAATCTTTGTTTTGTTGTACTGGGGGTTAAACCCAGGCCTTCACCTTGTACTGCATCCACAGCCCTTTTTTATTTTATTATTATTTTTTTTAATAATTTTAGGGGCTGGGCAGATAGCTCAGTAGAATAAGTGCTTGCCTGGTAAGTGCAGGGGCCTGAGTTAAATCCCCGGTTCTGCCAAAAAAAAATTTAAAAAGTAATAATAATAATTTTATCAGAGGGACTGGGAGATGGCTCAGTGGAATAAGCGCTTCCCTGGCAAGTGCAAGGGTCTGAGTTCAATCCCTGGTTCCGCCAAAAAAATAAAAAATAAAAAAATAAATAAAAAATTTACTGAGAAACAAATAGCAATGAGACAGTTTCAAAACCAGTTACTAGCACAGTTTCAATAATTAATACATTGCACATTGTTGTCTTAGTGTTTATTCACTATACAAGATGCAGACACGATAGCCTGTCCACAAACACTATTAGAACAAATCTCTCTATTCATTGAATTAAGAGAATGCAGCTGTATATCCATCCTATTTTGAATATACAGATACCAAATGGTCATTCATTTGTATCCCTTTTTGTTTAGTTTTGTTAGAGAAGAGTATTCCATTGTCATTTAAATATTGTAGGTGTGTGAATTCAGCAAAATAATCCAATATAGTCCAGTAGTCCACAATAGTAGTGGGTTATCCATAGGACTGGCAATGTCCAAAGTTGTTGACTTGAGCCTTTTACAACTCAGTATATTAATATGGCTTTACTTTTTATACTTCATGTTTATACTTTTCTGCTGGATGGTTAAGACCAAGATAAAGCAAGACCTATATAACAAGAAACGTAACTTTTGTATCTGACAAGGTCAGTCAAATCCCCTCAGGATTTATCCTGAAACCCTGTACAGCAGTTTATAGATCCTCTGTCAGTGTCAGCCATGTGGATGAGTCACGGCCATTGCTTGGCCAGTCTGCTCTCCAAGAAAGCCTGAGAGAATGTTCTCTCTCATGTGACTCTCCTTAGGCACACTCCACATCATCTATCACTTTCCCTTTTTTGTTTCTTGATTTCGAGACAGTCTTGCTAAATCACTAAGTTGCCCAGTGCTGTGCTTGACCTTGTGATCCTCAGACTGCAGCCTCCCAGAGTGCTGGGATTATAGGTCTGTACTTCTGCCCCAGCAAGTTTCTTAGAACTGAATCCTAAACCTTAAAGAGCGTCCCACTGGCCTCTTCCTCTTCGGCAGAGCGCAGGGACAGCATGGGTACCTGCAGCTCCCGCGAGCACAGGCCGCAGTCAGTTCACTGCCCGCCATGTGGCTGGGAAGACTGGCCACAGCCATACAGCACAGACAGGACTCCCACCGGGAGACAAAAACACCAACCCCGGGGGTGGGGACGCACAGTGCGGTGGGAGCCTGAGGCGGGAGGGAGGCAGGCGGGCGTCCAGCCGGGGTGACACAGACACTTAGCAAAACTCAAAATAAGAAAGCAGAAAAGGGCTGAGGGGTAGCGCAGTGCACAGGGCCTGGGTTCAAGCCACAGTACTAAAAAAAAAAAAAGAATTAGTCAGCTGTAGCAAATCATGTTTTCAAAATGTTGAAGTGGTAAAAAATATACTCTTAGTTCAAAACTAAAAAGGGAAGCCTTTAAACTTTGGTTATGTTTTCCATAATGTACTGGTATGATATTAAGTTTTTATTTCTGCTGAAACGGTTATTAACTAACTCTACTGAGAAATATTTAATGTTTACAGTCCCATATCCCACAACTAAAACGTCCCTGAATTTCCTTGCTGGCAAAGCAGTTACTGAGACTGTCCAATAATTCTATACCTTGCATGATTTCTAACTTCCCAATACATTATTTTCCTTACTGACATGGAAAATAAGAGTTTCTTTATTAAAAATATTTCAATGAAATATTCATTAGTTTTTGAGATAGGGTCTCACTTTGTAGCCCATGCTGGTGTGGAATCCTGGGGATCCTCCTGCCTCAGGCTCTTGAATAGGCATGCACTACCACATCGAGCTTTAGGAAACAGCTTTTATCAGATTTTTTTTTTTTCCCTTACAAACCACAAGAATATTTAAAAATTATGGTGGAAATCCAATCTGTTGAGAATATGGGTTTTGTATTTCCAAATAAGAATTTACCCGGCTGGCCAAATAGCTCAGCAGATTAAAGTGCCTGCAAGCAGGCACAGGGCACCCCCCACCCCCCACCCCCGCCTGCCATGCCGGCGCCGCCCCCAGGCACACTGAGACAGCAATTGAGACTACGCGTGGTGGCGCATGCCCGTAATCCCAGCTCTTGGGAGGCTGTAAACAGGCGGATCACTATGAGTCTGATCCAGTAGTGAGACCCCAAACACCTTGTAGACCCTTCCCTAAAATACAAAAAACAAAACAAAACAAAAAAAGGAACTTACCTTAAAATTCAGAAGACAGTACTTTTCACCTGATTAAAAAAAAAAAAAAAAGAAAAAGAAAAAAAAATTTAAGTAGGTAAGAAACGTGCCAACTTGGAAGAGCACAAACACTGAAACTCACCTGTCACAGATGACCTGGGCAAGAGTCCAGCAGGAGCGGACTCTGCAAGGCCACCCAGCAAGCAGGTCCAGGGCCAGGCGCCTACCTCTCCCTGCCATGCTTTCACCCAGGCACCGTCGAGGGCTCCAGGGATCACAGATTCAAGCCCTCCAAACCACCCTTCCCTGGAGGCTCCTGCCCACCTCCCCACATCTCGCTACTTCCTCCTGTCTGCCACAGGGGCCGAGGCCGATTCCTCACTCTGTAGCCCAGGCTGGTCTCAGACTCACAGCGATCCTCCTGCCTCAGCCTCCCACTCCCGGGTGCTGGGATTACAGGAAAGCGCCACCACACCTGGCTATCTACTGTATCTCAACCATCCACTTTTCAGGAAAAGAACTCGACAAAGGAGACTGGATCTGTACCGCCCCAGGTTCATGTCAGTGCTTACTATGCCTGCAGTTCAGCTGGCTCTATGTGTTTATTTTATAGCTCATTTTTCATCTAAGGTTTTTCAAAAAGACTTCCCAAGTCCCTGCCCTTGTTATTTCTATTACCTGATGGACAAGGGGTACAGATACCTAAAATAACAAGGCCTCAGGTGTGGGGCCCTGCATATGAGAGGCCGCACCAGGCATCATGCCAAGCTTTAGGGAAACTAAGTTCACAGTGTACAAACACATTCGTGCCACCGCAAATTCTAACAATACAGGTAAATCAGGAGTCTGCTGTGACCGAGGTCCCCGGAGCTTTCCCCCCTGGATGCAACAGGGCCACCAATGGGCATGTTTCTTCTCATAGCTGTTTGAATGCATAAAAGTAACCCACAGCCCTGCCTCCCAGCCCCTGCACAAGTAAGTCTACATAGAAAGGTGTTACACAGAGGTGAGGGGGCGGCATGAGCAAAGGTCCAGCAGCAGGAGGAGCCATCCTGGACACGAGCATGGGTGCTACACAGCCAGCAGGAGCCAGCCCTGCACGGGGGTGTAGCATGCACGGGGTGGGGTGGGGGCACTACCCGGTTCCTGTTTTGGGACGATCTCTGGCTGCTGCCACAGTGCTGGCCCACAGTGGGCACAGAGCAGGCAGTCCTATGTATCCGAGTGTCTGCCAGTAGAGTCAGAAAAGGAGCAGAATCAAAGTGCAGCAGCTGGTCCCATGGCGTCGGCAGCTGGGAGCAAATGGCTGAGTGTGGGGAATGGGCTGTGAGAAAGGCGGGCAGGGCTCCAGAGCTGGCCAGAGGAAGGGCTGAGGCTGAGCTTTGGAGAAAGCAACATCTAAGGGACAGGAGAGAAAGGTGAGGAGAGGTCCCCGGGGTGGGCAAAATGTCACAGAGACCAGCGAGATGTGCAGGAGCATGACCTGAGGATCAGCCACATGCAGCGCTCCTGAGGCCACACAAGGTGAGGCGGAGACACTGAGGTCTCTGACCCCGGGGAGCCTCGGGGAAAAGCCAGACCAAGGCTGGGTGTTAGAGGAGAAGAGGAAACAGCTGTCCAGAGAGAGGTCACTGGACAAGCTGGTGAGAGGAGCATGAGGGCAGAGAAGAGATGGTCTACAAAGGACATGGGGGCTGGACCTGGGTGCGGCAGCACAAGCCTGGAATCCTAGCACTCTGGGAGGCTGAGGCAGGCACTCTGCAAGTTCAAGCCCAGCCTGGGGAACTTACTGACTTAAGAGATACCCTGTCTAAAAAAAATAATAATTGAAAAAGGGCCAGTGGTGTAGCTCAGCACAAAGGCCCTGGGTTCAATCCCCAGTACAGGACGGGGGTGGGGGGTGTTCTAGGACATGGGAAGAACAGGCACCAGCAAGACACTGGCATTTCTGACGGAGGGAACTGTGACCTAACATAGGCCCTCAAGCCTTGGGCAGGGCTGTACTGCTCAATGGCAGGTGCTGGCCCAGCCTGTGTGAGATTCAGGGCTCCACCTCCAGCACCACAGGGTCGGGGAGCTAGCAAAGCCTAATTACTTTAATGAGGATGATATACCCTCACACAGCAGGGTATAACAGCAATCATACAGTAAAGGAAAACTATATTTTCACTCATAAAACTAGATGTAAAATTTCTACAGAAAGTGTTAGGAATAGAGAATGTCCTTATAGGTTCAATTTAAAAAACAAGCCAGGTAGGTGCCTTGTCTTGGGATCTTACCAGGGTGCAGGGTGAGAGATCAGACTATAAAGATTTTCAAGTTAGACGCTTAAGCATCACTGGTGTGGATGCAAGGCTCCAGGTTTTACTCCAGCACAGGGTCTGCTGCCCCGTTCAGGAAGGGCTGAGCAGAGGAGGGGTCATGTGACTTGGCAGAGCCTCTTCCCACTAGGAAACGCCAGCTGAGAACCAAACCACTAAACACCAGCGCTTTTGATCAGCTGTCTGCAGCTCAGACCTCAGCCTCCCCAGAGTATCTGTTAAAATTACATGCCTCCAGGCCCACTCAGCCACTGAATTAGAATCTGGGCTATGGGGCTTTTCCATAAGTGTCCTGGGGCACAGTAGCCCCCCCCACCCAGGTTTTCCCCAGCAGGCAGGCGGGCTCAGCTCCCTTGCGCTTCCACCTTGCAGCTGACACCGTGCTGAGCTCCATCAGTAGAGGAGAGGTGCTGGGGACTGGGACGTGTTCCACTGGGATGCGTTCTGCTTGCTGACCCTTCCCACGGCTTTCCTTCCCCTGTTTGGGTGGGTGAGGCAGCCAGGTGCACCCCACCAGGGAGAACCACCTCTGTACCCCTCGGAGCCCAGGCCACAGCCACGCCCTCCGCGGCTTTTTCCTCAGGGGCCGTGAGGCTGCGCCCTGTACTGCCTGCCTCAGCCCATCCCCACACGACCCTGTTGAAGGAATCCCCTGCTTCTGCTTCTCTCCTGACTGGATCGGTGGTGCGCAACACACCAGGCCACAGGACGCAGACTTTAGAAAGGACAGAGAGGCTCACAGACAGAACCAGAAGATACTCGGGCGTAGTGAGATGAAATGCATGAAAATGGCGTGCATTTAATAAATATGTATACGCTACAAAGCGTTAAAAGTAACTGCCTTAAGGACCACATTTACCTGCGTTCAACTCTATCCCCTTCTGTATCGGACCCTTCCCCTACACACACCCTGGCACTGGAGGCAGAACCCAGGCCCACTCACTGAGCTAATCCCCAGCCTTTTTTATTTTGACACAGGTTTTTTCTCAGGGGGCCACGCTGCCCTTGAACTTGAGATCCTCCTGCTTCAGCCTCCTGAGTAGTTGGGATCACCAGACCTACTTTTGATTTTTTTTTTACCCAAGTCTGTTTTTTTTTTGGCGGAACCAGGGATTGAACTCACGCCTTTGCGCTTGGCAGGGAAGCACTTATTCTACTGAGCCATCTCCCTGGCCCTGATTTTTTTTAAACAGTGAGAAAAACCCACTTCTACAATTTAAAAATATGCTCTTTATATACATATTCAATACTTTTATCGACTTATTAATGCCAGCCAACATTCTAAAATACACACAGGCAGGTGCAATGGCACACACCTGTAATTCCAGCTACACAGCAGGCTGATGCAGGACGATCACTGAGTCCAGTTCAGGGTCAGCCTGAACAATATGGCAAGACCCCCTATCAGAAAAGTACACACAGACCTGCACACACCCACATCTACACATGGTTTTGGGGCTAATGTTATGGCTTGTGTCTAGCTGTGCCCCAGCACAGCTGTCATAAGTGGGGCTTTTCAGAGGTGGCTGGATCTAGAATGTGTGACGCTAGGATTTAGGGTGTCCTTCTGTGAGTGTGAGTGTGGGTCACCTGCCTGGAATATAAGGGACAGAAAGAAGGCTGCTGCCATCGCTCCTGCTTGCTGCCATGAACTGTTCCTCCTCTGTGTGCCCCTCTGCCACCCCACCCTTCTCAGCGCCACCTGATTATGGGCTGAAGCCTCTACAAACTGTTGTAGGAGTCCCTTCCTGGTTCTCGTTTCAGCCCAAGAAGTCTATACTTATAATCCCAAAAATATGTTATTGGACTCCCACCAAGTTAATTCCAATCTACCACTCCCAGTGCAACCCACAGCAAAAACAAAGACACTAAGACATATATATATATATATAATTATTGGGGAGCCAAGGGGACCCAAGTCCAGCCACGAAGATGGCTTTCTGAAACAAAGAGACCAACTCAAGACTTGCACCTGGGCTTTATTAAGCCGAGAAGGGGGAGTGGCTTGAGGAAGAGAATTGTGGGAAGTTGGTGAGTACTGTGAGCTGGGCTGGGTAGGCGGCCTGCATTTACCTCTGCCATATGCAGAGAGGATATGCAGAGAAAGTAATTTGCATTATGCTGTTGAGACAGTATCTAATGTTTCTGGGGTCTG